ATTGGTTCACCTCAGATGGAGGTGTTTGATTTGTATTAGTTTGGGGCCGCTATCAGTTGCAGATCCATTGACGATATTGGGGAAGAGTTGCAGACTTTTCTATTTGTTTGAGGGCCTTTGGAGGCTGTTTGGGTGAACTACATGAAGGCTTGATTCCTTAGGCAAGAGGATACGTAAGCAGTCAGTTTTGATACAGCCGATTTGGTGAGCACATACCGACATTTGGGTGAGTGTCCGCACTCCCGTTTGGGTCTCGACTTGTGTGGATGGAGCCTGTTGTCATGAGTCTGTTGCCGTGGCGTACTGGATGCAACAAATAAGACATTTGTTTTGGTTGGTGTAGGCTCAGTTTTGGGAAAACTTCGCCGAGGTGGAGAATTGTGAAAACGGTGAAGAAATTGAGGAAGGAATTGAGAAAAACGTGAAGAATAAGCAAAACAGGCTCCACCACACCCTGGTGTGGTGTCTGTCATGGGTGTGGCAGAATCTGCCCTGTTTACTATGGGTGTGGTGTGTGCCACACCAGGATGTGGTGTGTGCCACACCAGGGTGTGGCAGACTCATTTTTAGAATCCCAATCAGTTTGGGATTGTGTTTTGTTATAAATAGAGACACATTTTTTAGGGTTTCTTTGGCTTTATTTAGGCTTTGATTGGGCTTTGATTAGGCATTGATTGAGTGATATTTGGAGCACAAAAAGAGGTATTTTTTGAGCTTTTGGTTAGGGTTTTGTTTGGAGAGATTAAGAGTTTTTTTGGTGAGATTAGTTTGTTCTTTCGAGTGATGTGTAATCTCAATTTGTACTCTTCTTCTCTATTAGTGAAAAACCCTATCCCCTTCTTGTCCCGTGGACATAGGCAACTTGTCGAACCACGTTAAAATTGGTGTTTTGTTTGTGCATTGATATTTAGTTCGTTTGGCTCTCTTGGATTGACGTTTGGTTTGGTTACTCGACACAGCTTTTGGCACAACAAGAAGTATATTAAACATGTTTACACTCTAGTACCATAAAGTTTATATCTCTTTTAGTTTTGATACCCTAAAGTCCTTGTTTAACACTTTTGAATCTTTGATACCTGACTTTGATACCCGCGGAGGTTTTTCTGACACTCGGGTACCATAAAATTTATAAATTTTTAAACTTTCATACTCTAAATTGTACACAATTTTTTTTAACTTTTATACCCCAAGCCTTCAATATCAAAATGTAAAAAATAAAACTTTGTGTACCCAAGTTCAAAATGTAAAAATGTAGGGTATTAAAGTGTCAAAAAAGTTC